TCTCTCTCTCTCTCTCTCTCTCTCTCTTCTCTCTTCTCTCTTTCTCTCTCTTTCTCTTTCTCTTTCTTCTTCTCTCTTTTCTCTTTCTCTCTCTCTCTCTCTCTCTCTCTCTCTCTCTCCTCTCCTCTCTCTCTCTCTCTCTCTCTCTCTCTCTCTCTCTCTCTCTCTCTCTCTCTCTCTCTCTCTCTCTCTCTCTCTCTCTCTCTCTCTCTCTCTCTCTGTCTATCATTTCCCATCGTCTTTCTTTCCCTCTCCCCTCACTTTTACTCTTCCCCATATGTTGCCATTTCTCTCTCTCTCTCCTTCCCTATCTCCATTTCTCGCTTTGTCCCTCTATCTCCCTCCCTCTCCCTCCTCTTCCCATCCTTTCTCTCTATTTATCTATCTGTCTATCTATCTATCTCATTTTCTAGTTCTTCTCTCTCGTCATTTGGATTTTTTCTCTCGAATTTTTCTGTCGATTTTTTTCTTTCAACTTTCTTCACGTTCTTTCTTTTGATCTTTTTCTCATTTTTTCGACTTTTTTATTGATTAATCTTTTTGATCCTCTCTCTCTCTCTCTCTCTCTCTCTCTCTCTTCTCTCTCTCTCTCTCTCTCTCTCTCTCTCTCTCTCTCTCTCTCTCTCTCTCTCTCTCTCTCTCTCTCTCTCTCTTCCTCTCTCTCCTCCTTTTCTCTTCTCTTTCTCTCTCTTCTCTTCTCTCTCGCTTCTCTTTCTCTCTCTTCGCTCTTTCGCTCTCTTTCGCTCTTCTCTCTCTCTCTCTCCTCTCTCTCTCTCTCTCTCTCTCTCCTCTCTCCTCCTCTCTCTTCTCTCTCCTCCTCTTCTCTCTCTTCTCTCCTCTCTCTCCTCTCTCTCTCTTCTCTCTTTCTCCCTTTTCTCCCTTCCCCTCTCGCCACCCTTGTTCTAATAGCCAATCCATCCATCCTTTTCACCCATGAACGGAAACCCTCACTGCACACCAATCTCCTCTTTTGATTCTTCCTTCCCTCATCATCCATCTCCATCCCTCTTCCCTCCCTTTTCCTTTCCCCCTCACTTCCCCTTCCCCTTCTCACCTCGTTCACTTCCCCTCTCCTTCATCTTTCCTTCTTCCTCCCTTCCCTTATATCTCTTTGCTCCTCCCTTCCTCCTCCCTCCTCTTCACCCTTCCTCACCTCCCATTCCCCCATTCTCGTCCCTGATCCTCGTCATTCCCTCTTTCCCCTCGCTTTCGCCCACACCCCAGCTCCCCTCGGCGCTCTCCCCTCTCCCCTTTCGTTACCTCAGTTGGTCCATAAAACGAAATTCTCCTATATTTCTTGCCTCAATAAAGGAAAAAAAAGTGTTGTGGGCATCACGAGAAATGTGCAAAATATTAGGTTAGGTTGAGGGGATGGAGAGGGGGGGGGAGGCGGGGAGGTGAGAGAGATGAAGAGGGGATAGAGAAGGGGGAGAGGGAGAGGGAGAGGGGAGAGGAGGGGGAAGAGGGAGTGGGGAGAGAGGAAGAGGGAAGAGGGAGAGGGAGAGAAGAGGGGGAAGAGGGAGAGGGGGAAGGAGGGGGAGGAGGGGGGAGGAGAGGAGGGGGGGGGGGGAGGAGGGGGAAGAGGGAGAGGGGAGAGAGGAGGGGGAAGAGGGAGAGGAGAGAGAGAAGAAAGGAGAGAGAGAGGAGGGGAAAAGGGAGAGGGAGAAGAGGAGGAGGGAGAGGCGGGAGAGGGAGGAGGGGGGGAGAGAGGAGAGGGGAGTGAGAGGGAGAGGGAAGATGAGAGGGGATAGAGGAGGAGGAAGAGGGGGAGGGAGAGAAAAGAGGGATACAGAGGGGGAAGGAGGAGAGGGGGGTAAAAAATGGGAAAGGAGGAGAGGGATGATATAGGAAGGGAGGGGAGGGAGAGTGGTTGGGGGGAGGGTGCCATTTTGAAGAGAAGCTTTGATCTTGTCTTTTGTTTTGGTGCCAGCTTTGGTTGTGTTGCAATTGCTGGACACTTTTTTAAAGTTCATTTTTTGCTTCCCTTGTATCTTTAAAATGTTACAGGGGTACAATTCGTTTTCCTCTCTCTCTCTCTCTCCTCTCTCTCTCTCTCCTTCTCTCTCTTCTCTCTCTCTCTCTCTCTCTTCTCTCCTCTCTCTCTCTCTCTCTCTCTCTCTCTCTGTCTTTTCCTTCTCTCTCCGCCTCCCTCCACCCCTCTCTTCTCTCTCTCTCCCCTCTCTCATTTCCTCCCAGTCTATCTGTATATCAATCAGTATTCTACCTCTTTTTTCATTTCGGCCTACGTCTTCCCTCCCTATTCCATTATATATTCATGCAAACGTACTCCCTTCTCTTTCTCTTTCCACCTATCACATTTCATAATCTTCAGATAGTTTCCTCCCAAAGCAATATATTCCCCTTAGCATATTTTTAGCTTAGTTTCCCCTGTACCATCATATGCCCATGCTCTTGTTAACATCTTTTTGTACGTTATTTGTTTTCACTTTTCTTGTCTTCAATTTCCCTCTGCTTATCTCTCTTTCTCTATTTTTACATCTCCCTCTCTCTTCTTCCCTCAGTTTTTTCACTCCTTCTTGTCCTCCCTTCTTCCTCCGTCCCTTCCCTCCCTCACCTCTCATTCCCTCTGCTGTCTCTTTCCCTCTCCCACCCTCTCATTCCTTCTGCTGTCTCTTTCCCTCTCTCCTTCTCGCCCTCTCGCTCTCCACCCCTCTCTTCCCCTCTTGCCGTT